ATGGTGGCACATGCCTGTAATCCCAGCTACTTGGGAGACTGAGACAGGAGAATCACTTGAACCTGGGAGGCAGAGGTTGCAGTGAGCCGAGATTGCGCCATTGCACTCTAGCCTGGGCAACAAGAGCGAGACTCCGTCTCAAAACAAAAAAAAAACAAAAAAGAACTACATGATCTTGGGCAACTGGCTTAACCTCCCTGCGCCTCGGTTACTGCATCTGCAATATGGGAATGAAAACACAAATTAATCATTCTGCACATAATTCTTAAGCATGTGCTGTCTATGTGCTCAACACTGCTAGGCATTGGGGACACCTTAATGAACAGTACAGACAAAAATATCTTGGCTGGGCGCAGTGGCTCACACCTGTAATCCAAGCACTTTAGGAGGCCGAAGTAGGTGAATCACCTGAGGTCAGGAGTTTGAGACCAACCTGGACAACATGGTGAAACCCCATCTCTATTAAAAATGCAAAAATTAGCCAGGCATGGTGGCGCACCCTTATAATCCGAGCAACTTGGGAGGCTGAGGTTAGAATTGCTTGAACCCGGCAGGCGGAGGCTTCAGTGAGTTGAGATCGCACCACTGCACTCCGGCCTGGGTGACACAGTGAGACCCCGTCTCCAAAAAAAAAAAAAAAATCTGGCCTTATAGAGTGTCCTAAACTCTAGTAAGGGTAAGAGGCAATAGGTAAATAGGAAAGTAGATTATTGGATGTATTAGAAGGGGCATGGGGAATGTGGGGTCAAGGTTGTAATTTTAAATAGGGTGGTCAAGGAAAGCTTTCTGAGAAGGTGACATTTGAACCACAGACTTGAAAGAGAAGAGAGAGAGGGGCCGGGCACGGTGGCTCACACCTATGATCGCAGCACTTTGGGAGGCTGAGGAAGGCGGATCACTGGAGCTCAGGAGTTTGCAGCCAGCCTGGGCAACATAGCGAAACCCCATCTCTACAAAAATTAAGCAGGTATGGTGGTGTGCACCTGTAGTCCCAGCTATGTGGGAGGCTGAGAGGTGGGGGGATCACTTGAGCTTGGGAGTTTGAGGCTGCAGTGAGCCATGATTTTGCCACTACACTCCAGCCTGGGCAACAGAGGGAGACCCTGTCTCAAAAATAAAAAAACAACAAAAGAAAATGGCTGGGCGTGGTGGCTCATGCCTATAATGCCAGCACTTTGGGAGGCCAAGGCTGGTGGATCACCTGAGGTCAGGAGTTCGAGACCAGCCTGACTAATATGGTGACGGGGTGTCTCTACTAAAAATACAAAAAAATTAGCCAGGCATAGTGGCAGACACCTATAATCCCAGCTATTCGGGAGGCTGAGGCAG